CGCTCTCTCTCCCTCTCTATCTTTCACACACACACACACACACACACACACACACATTGACATGACACTCATGATAAATCATATTTGTCGATTGTTCCCTTGGAATTGTAATTCTAGTTATTAATAACGATTATCATAATTTACAATGAATGATGTTTCGAACAGCTGTATGCCATAAGCGACTGCACGCCATATATCAAAATAAACAAGCTAAAAACACCTCAAAAACTGTGATTGCTTTTATATAGCATTAAGCCTCAAATGTCAAAAACATTTTTTTTAAAAGAAACCAAACCAAAGTAAAAATACGCATGCACTCTAAAAAATGCTGGGTTGTTTTACTGTAAATTGACCCAATTTTGGGTCAAATATGGACAAACCCAGCCATTGGGTTACATTTTTAAATGACATTTTTAACCCAATGTTTGGGTTAAAACAACCCAGCATTTTTAGAGTGTGGTATTATACTGTAATCAAACAACAAAAGAAAAACAGAAAATCACTCACTCGCTGTTTTTGAACTTTCTTAAGAGCTGTACACAACAAGCCGTCAAACAACAAATCTAAATCCTCAAGTGACCAATTGCAAACAACATCAACAGTCATATGCATACAACAAACAATATTATCCATGGATAAAGACAAATTGCCCAACAAACTATCTGTACACATAATCATCCAACACAAACAACAGATTTCCATACAGTTGTACACTTCTCTCCCAATAAAACACGTAACACACACATGCGTGAAACATCATTAATGAAATAAACATCATTAGGGAAGCGATTATCAAATGTGGTCGGAGCCATTCATAACTTATTCCATCTAGCCACATGACTTATGCATCAATATGATATCAGTATATATAGAAAAACCTAAAAACAATGGCCAACATTAAAGCCAAAACAGGCTTAAATTTAAACATATATATTTACTGTAATGATGAGCTTTGGGCCAGTTCGTGTACTCTATATAGAGCTATAAGGCCATCTAGCGGCAGGACTCATGAACTGTCATGTTATATTATTTCCCCACAGGACAGAGACTCTTCAACGCGTTTCATGGAACGGACTTTTGCATTTTATAAGAAAAAGATTATAGATTATATTATTACAATTAATTATTGATAAAATCAAGTAATTTAGAGGCAAATAAAATAAAGAAAAATATTTTCAAATAAAAAACAAGTTAATTAAACGTGCTTTTGTAAACCATAATAGGCTATAAAAAAGTTTAAATTATGTCATGCTCAGTAGGAATCAATATCATGATTAAAAAAAATATACAAAATTATATATGTCATGTAAGCTTTCTGAACAAAAAAAAAAGTGAATAAGTATCATTCTTAGTGCTTCGGAAAGATTTGATAGGGGAGGATGAGGTTATGGTGGTGAAGCAATATTAATCATGACGTAAAAATTCGAAATTATTGCATTCCAGGTCATCATTATGAGATAAAAACTGCTGAGACAGAAATAATGACTGTCATAATCTTGATTGAATTTTGATCCCGACTGAGCATGACATAATTTAAACTTTTTTTACAGTGGTGGTCCGTCAGGGTCAGCAAGGCCTTCTCTGCTGGCCTAAACACTGACTTGCACTTTAATATATTTTTTTCCATGAATGAGTATTAAATTATTCCAAATAGTTCATTCTCTTAATTTCATAGCTTTTCTCTAGGTTGCGCTGCTTAAAATGAATGGCAATGAAACTGTTTCTTTAACCAATCAGATAATCAGTCAGATTTAATCAGCCAATCAGATTTCGCTTTGACTGCAGCGGGGCCATCTAGCACATAGATATCCATAATAAAGGCTAGATGTCTTATGGCGGAGTCTCTAGCGTCACCACCGGCGGCCATCTTGTCACAGGCAAGCTGATGTAAGATGAGTGATCTGTACGGATTTACAAACGGTTTGGTTTCTTACAAACGTTATTAAAGCTACACTGTGTAACTCTTTTAATTTATTCTTAGCTAAAAACACTTAGTTCTTTCAAAAATATATGTGCTCATTAATGTATATTTACTTCGTTCAAGTAATAAAGTATTCTCGTGAGTGTATAATATCCCATTGAAAATACATACGTTTAAGAGGATCTAATGTCGGTCGCCATGTTGCCCCTCCATCTTGAAAGTACATTAGCCAAAGAGGGACATACCCGTTAATTCAAGCTTCGCCTTTCGCGTTTACGTTGGACGAGGTATGCCATGTTAATCTTGGACTACATTGGCCACCGTAGGAGTTAAAACGAAATCGGAATTGAGAGGAAAAGAAACTAATATTCACTGGATGGTCATATATCTTTTCACCGCTAGATGGGGGTAAAAATCACACGGTGTAGCTTTAACGTGGCGATAATGATTATTTATTTATACACTTATTATTTATTAGTATGCAGCGTCATTACATCTCTGACGTTTAGAACAAACCAAACCGTTTGAAAATCGTAGAAAATTGAGCAAGTTATGGTTATTTAAAAAGTACATGCATCATTAAAACACAATGTTACGAGTGAGCGAGCTGCCTGTGACAAGACGAGACATAGCCTTTATTATGGATATCTATGATCTAGCAGGCGTAATAACGTCGAATGTTCTCGTTCTTTGATTGGGTGCTCAGAGCGCGTACTATTACTGGTACAGTTATCTTTTTTACCTAAATGATAACTATACTGTATTATAATAACTCACCAATTATAATCCTCTCCTCTGTCAAATTTGCCATCGATAATGCCATTCCGTCGCGAGCGCTGTCCTGTTTGAGCTCCAGGAAAGCTATTTATGAACATTATTAAAGTTTTTACAGCATATTTATTAGAATAAAGTAAAAGCTGTGAAATATGGAACATGTTTTGTATGTGAATATATAGTAAACTGTTTTATTCTTGTTAATCAGCACATTAGCATGAACTCTGGAGGATTATGGGACAGTATTTTGCTTGTATTGGTCAATAAACACACACATACCTTCTTTAATTCACACTGATTAATGTGAGCGAGTGAAAGGCTGACGCTATTAATGAAGTCTCGGCTCATGCTGTCGCTCTTGTTTGAAGACACAAGATGATCTTGAAGTCCGATCAACTTATTCCACATCCATGGTCTGTTAATAATCACCGCTAATGAGGCATCTATGTGTATGTATATATATCTGTTAATAACAGTCATCTGCTATAATGTATTGCACCCCATTCACAGTCTTATGAGGCAATTATAAAGTTTCTGTTCTGGATAGACAGGTAAACATGTTCAAGTACCACGTGTGTTTTATTTCAGCAATCAATAAACAGATCAATAATTGCTCCTTCACAAACACACCGAATCATTGTTTCATAAAAGTAATGGCAGATTTGCCTCAAGAATGATTATATCATCAGTCGTCTGACGCTACTGTATAAAATAAACATTGATCACTTTATATTTGAGGTCCGTCGATGCTTAAACGAGTCATTATCGAGTGATTCAGTGACTCGGGATTCAGTCACTGCTTCTGATTGATTGTCCCGAATCTGTTCTCTTCTAAACCACCGGATCCAGATCGGATGAAGATGTTTATGCTATCCATTATGGGAACGGTGCTTTTAAATGTTCTCTGAAACTATGTAAGCGTTTCCAATTCTGGTAAAAAAAAAAAAAAAAAACGCCCCATGATCGATGTATAAATGATGTTGTTTGACTGTTTTGAGAATATTATAAAAGTCCAGATAACTTTGAACAAGCGTTCCCTGTTCCATGGCCTTCGGTCAGCTGATCCTCTGACCTCTGATGACCCTTTAACAAGGTAAACCTGCAACAAACACCCACACAAGACTGATCACAGGTCAGCATTTCCCATCATTCCAGTCTGAAGGAATCGGCACACAACAACACCGGCTGATGCACACTGATGAAACAGAAGCAGTGGATGAGGAAGAGAATGATGAAGAGTTCCTGAGGATGATGAGGAGTTCCTGAGGATGATGAAGAGTTTCTGAGGATGACGAAGAGTCTCAGGACGAGGAAGAGGAGTGTCTCATGATGAAGGTCAGGAGGGTTTGGATAAATCTAATCTTCTGTGTGACTGACGGACGGTGAGAAACACTGAGACTGTTCATATCATAAACGAGCCTGATGAGGATGATGAAGATTCACAGATGTGTGTGTGTGTGTGTTTGACTGAGATCCTGAAGCCACAGAAACACAGAAGGCAAGACACTACAGACTCTCCTCATACATCATGAGATTTAAGCTTTAGCTTTCATATCTATATTCTGTATCTATACATATATATGTATATAAAATATAATTCACCTGGTGATTTATAGCACTTTATATCCTTAAGATCACGATAATGTATTTTCCTGGCTGATTTATGGAGTGATGAGAAGAAGAATCCACAATCCCCACATTATAAACCTGTAACACTTCAACAGAACGAGCGTCACTGCATATTTAATGCAGGATTTGCATTTTCAAACAACATACAAAAAGAGCTTAATGTATTAAACCAGCTGTGGAAGTGATGCAACATCACTAAAGTAAAGGTTTATAAGGGTTTTGCTGCTTTAGAAGAGCCTTTCAGATGTCAGAAGAGCAAAGAACATTTTTAATTTTAATTGCCGTTTGTGAAGTGGAAAGATTTTTAAGGGTCTCGAACCATCGAAGCCAATAAAGAACCTTCATGTTTAAGAGTAAATCTGTGTGTGTGTGTGATGTTCGATCATGAGAAGCTCCAGTTCTCCTCTATATCAGTGTCAGTGTTCCTGAACTCCTGGAACACCTTCTCCGGGAACGAACACGTCCCAATATTCCTCATTATAGTAATTAATGCTGAGGATAAAGGGGCGGGGCCTGGTTCAGTTAGTTAGTAGTGTGTTAAACTGGCGGTTATGGTAAGGCGCGGGACATTTCCCAAACACACTCGAAGCGCTCGATCAATCACAACACACTGCTCCAGCCGACCAATCAGAGCACAGTGTGCTTTCAGGAGGAGGGGCTTCATAGAGACAGGAAGTAATCAGAGCGTTACTGACAGACTGGGAAGAGAGGAGCCGCAAGAATGGAGAATATGAGGAGAATAATCAACATTCATGTTCTAGAAGAGCCTGAAACTACACCAAGACTTGAGAAAGAGCGTAATCGTTAAGTCTTTAGCCTATTTGGCTGTAGTGTCTTGCCTTAATTTGGATTGTTGAGGTTCTGGATATCCTGTCTGTGAAAAACACCGGGCGAAGTGTGTGTTTCTGAAGCGTAAAGTGGGCGGAGCCGGCCGTCGCCATCTTGGCTGCTTCACTCCCGGATAAACGAACTAGCTGAGGTGACATGACGCTAACGTTAGCAGACAAACGGCTAGCAGTGACATCAGCGGCAATCCACCTGTCACTCAAGTGGCCACGCCCTTAATTATGCACAAGTTTAATGAAGTCGTCAAAACCAGTTTCTTCTCCAGACTGTAAACATGTGTTTTCCTGCTGTAAAGTTGGGCGTTTTAACATGCGAGTCTATGGGAGTGAGTCTCTTCTGCAGCGCCTCTAGTGGCCAGAGGAGGAACTGCAGTGTGTGTGAGAGAGAGAGAGAGAGAGAGAGAGAGAGAGAGAGAGAGACGGTTTCCGCTTGGCTGACACTGAGAGACTTCAGTCCTCAGGAAACCTGTATGATCTCCATGCTGCCGGAGAAGCTGGACTGTGTGCCGGTCGTTCCCAGTTCTTCTCCGGGTCGAGTCTCGGACCCGCCGTCTCCGAACTCCATCTGGCAGCTCCTGCGCTTCAGCTGCTTCTCGAAGCTGCTCTCCTCGTGCCAGCTCCTCCGGGAGTCCCGGGACTCTCCCGACCGCCCGCGTCTCCTGACCGGCTGACCCGGAGCCGAGCCGGAGCAGAACCGGGCCGAGTCCGAGAGGAACCAGCCGCCGAGCACCAGGTCCGAGTGCCATCCCTTCAGCAGAGCGGAGTGTGTCGGGGCCGCCGGGGATTCGTCCATGCTCTCGCTGCGCTGGAGTTGCACACACACACTCCCGTCCCGCGGCACACACACACTCCTGCCTGGACTCTGCTCCGGGGTGTTGTGTTCTGAAAGCTCCTGCACCGGAGAGAACTGGCAGGGAAGAGTTGCTCCGGACTCGCTGTAGGTCGTGATGTCGAGGGAGAAGGAGCGCTTGGGTCGACTGCTCTCCTTCAGGTCCTCTCCCAGCGTGAGACCGCAGAGCGCTCGGGTCAGCAGACGCTCCTCAGAGACGCCGGGCTCCTCCGACACACACTTCCCCTGCTCGTCACACACACCCGCTCTCGGCCGGGCTCGCTCGCTCCTCAGCTTCTTCTCGAAGTCCAGCAACTGACCCAGGAAGTTGAAGTTCGGGGAGATGGTCGGGCGTTTCTCCTTCACGAACCTGTGAGGCGAGAACACACGTCACAGCGAGTCCAGCAGAGGACCTGGAAACCACACTTCAAGGAGTAGTTCACTTTTGAAAAAACTTTTGCTGATAATTTACTCGCCCCCACGTCATCCAAGATGTCCATGTCTTTCTTTCTTCAGTCGAAAAGAAATTAAGGTTTTTGATGAAAACATTCCAGGATTTTTCTCCATATAATGGACTTCAATGGGGTCCAAACGGTTCAAGGTCCAAAAGACAGTTTCAGATGCAGCTTCAAATGTCTTTAAACGACACAAGACGATGAATAAGGGTCTTATCATGCGAAACGATCGGTTATTTCAAAACAGTAACTTTTCTAAGGACAAATGCTAGCCTTGCTCTATTCTGTGAGGCGCGTTTGTAACATCACGTAATACGTAATTACGTTCAAAAGGTCACGGGCGACGTAGCCGGAAGTACAGAGTCAGTGTTTACAAGTTGAACGCATAGGTTGAACGTGCAAACTAACTCAAACACCGTTTAGAAAAAAAGGAATTAAAAGGTACAACAACGATGTCGGACGATTTTGATTCTGTTCTTCCGGCTACGTCGCCCGTGACCTTTTGAACGTAATTACGTATTACGTGACGTTACAAACGCGCCTCTCAGAATGGAGAAAGGCTAGCATTTGTCCTTAGAAAAGTTACTGTTTTGAAATAACCGATCGTTTCGCATGATAAGACCCTTATTCATCGTCTGGTGTCGTTTAAAGACATTTGAAGCTGCATCTGAAACTGTTATTAACTGTCTTTTGGACCTTGAACCGTTTGGTTACCATTGAAGTCCATTATATGGAGAAAATCCTGGAATGTTTTCATCAAAAACCTTCATTTCTTCTCAACTGAAGAAAGAATGACATGGACATCTTGGATGACATGGGGGTGAGTAAAATATCAGCAAAAGTTTTTTCAAAAGTGAACTACTTGCTTTAAAGTACAGTAAAGCACATATACATTAAAGCCAAATTTACTCCAAGTCACCAATTTCAATACAACTTGAGCAAAAGTCTTAAGAGTATCTGTTAGTTCACCCAAAATGAACATTAGCCCGTGATTTACTCTCCCTCAAGTCATCCTAGGTGTGTATGACACTCTTCTTTCAGACCAATACAATCAGAGTTACATTAAAAAATGTGTAGTTTGTTTGCAGAGAGACTCCGCCCACACACTCTTCTGATTGGCTGTGATGTTGGATTGATTTGGTTGCGAGTGCAGTGTGAACACGTCACATATCAAACGCGTGGGGTTGCCTGGGTTCTCCCAAGGTTTTTTCTCCATCCAATCTGATGGAGTTTGGTTCCTTGCCACTGTCGCCTTGCTTTTGGCTTGCTTTGAGCTTGCTCAGTTGGGGTTATTTAGTGTTTAGCAATGTTGTTGATCTGTGTTGTGCTACTTTCATGTTATCACTGTGAAGCTGCTTTGATACAATCTGTATTGTGAAAAGCGCTATATAAATAAATGTGACTTGACTTGACTTGACATATCAACCCAAAACCAAAGGAATGATGTTATAACTACAAAATGTACATTTAAATCTATTAAATGCATGTAATCAAATACTATCATAATGTATAAATGCTCTATTTAAATGTAATAATTCACAATTCCATCCTCCAAATATCGTCCTTTGATTTGATGTTGAGAATGAGCTGGACGGGTTTCATGAGACACACACTAATGACGGGTCAGGGAAGAAGGATGGTCACATGATCTGTTACCTGTAGGCTTCATCCAATGACATGTCCATCCTCTTCATGATGTAGGCGATGGCGATGGTTGCCGAGCGCGAGATTCCCGCCAGACAGTGGACCAGGACTCGGGCGTCACTGGCCTTGGCTTTCTCTGGAGACACACACACACCAATCAGGGCTTTTCTGATGACTTATAAACCTCTAACGAGGTTGTTATGCTCCTGCATTATTTCAACTTATTTTCACAACTATAATGTTTAATGGCCAAATTTGTGGTGAAAAAACTACATTACCCATGATGCTGTGCAGAAAATAGAAAATTCCACCAATCAAAGTTTAGGTGATCAACCAACATAACACACTAACATAAATACATATATTATATTTTAATTTAATTTGAATAATTCACAAATATATATATATATATATATATATATATATAACATAATTAAATGTAATATTTAAAATTAAGCCAGTTTAATTTAGTTAATAATTAGTGTTAGTTAATATATGTTAATAACAATTATGTGAAATTTTTAAAATATATATAACAAAACAAAACCAAAAATACATACAAATTAAATGTAATTTAAAATGATAAAACAAATATTTTAAATATTTCATTTAGTTTAGTTCAGTCTTGTCTATCTTTTCTTATTTCTATTTCGTGTTAATGTAGTGATTCTATGGGGAGCGCAGTGTCATGTGACCCCGTCCGACCTATGAACTCCACAGACCGGTCGAGCCAGGGCAGGATCTTCTCGCAGAAGCTGTCGTTCACCGGCACGCGCAGGAAGTGTGTGTCGGGGATGAAGTCGGGTTTGGGACAGGTGTTGCTGGCGTTCAGCACGTACGCGATATCGTTCTGCTGCATGAGCTCCTGCGGGAACACACACACACACACACACATCAGCAGGTGTTCTGATCCACACACACACTCAGACACTCACACACACACACACACACACATCAGCAGGAGTTCTGATCCACACACACACACACACACACACTCACCTGGTTGAGTACGTCCCTCTGGCAGCCCAGGTACAGGTGTGTTAGGATGCGGGTCGGGTTCGGGTTGGTCACGGGGAGAGTGAGACTCGGCTGAGACACACAGGACGGCACCAGCGCAGACTTCCCTTCACACAGACCCGGGAACAGACGGCAGAACTCTGAGAATCCTCCTACACACACACACACACACACACACACACACTGAGCCTCAGAAAACACCAGCAGAGAGAGGTGTGTTAGTGCGTGTGTGTGAATGTAAGTGTTCAGTGTGTCATGTGACTGTAACCTGAGAGCAGGTGGACTGATGGGAAGCTCTTCTCCAGCTTGGCCAATAGGACACTGAGAAAGGCATCATGTGACAGGGAGGCGGGGTCTGACGAGCTCTGGTCATACACCACGACCTCTTGACCCTGGAGCTCCAGCTGAAAACACACACACACTCACTCTCTTTATAACATTATAAAGGGGATATATCATGAGAATCTGGAGAAGCGCCCTCTAGTGGCGAGAGGTTACATCACGTGCCTTTAATATCTGCAGGCATTGTGTAATGTATCTTGATTTAAAGCGGACAGTGTGTGTGTTTGTGTGTGAGATCACCTTCCTCTTGGCGCAGTGCATCAGGAGCTCGCTGATCTGGGTCTTGTCCTGCATGAGTCTCCTCTTCATCAGCTTGGAGCCGTGCACGTTGACGGCCTCCATGATGTGACCCGTGTTGAACTCCAGGAACGGCCGGCAGTCGATCAGCAGAACCCGGTCCAGATCGCCCTCGAGCAGCGCCACCAGGGCCTCGGGCCCCAGCACACACACACGCTCACACATACCCACACTCCCTCGGGCTCAGCAGAGCGGCGGCCACATGGCACTGAGGATGATGAGGATGAGGATGTCACCTCGATGGCGTTCGAACAAACAGAGCTAGAGGAAACTAGTGTGTGTGTGTATGTGGGAATGTGTTAGTGTGTGTGTGTCTCTTTCACATTATCAGTGTCTCTATAAAGATGGAGGTCCTGCTCCTCGATCATCTCCGCTGCTCTTCATCATCCAGAGCTCCTGCAGACACACACACACACACACTCATGATGTCTGATGAGCTTTAACTCGATTCGAGATTATGTTTTATATAGGGCTGTGCAAAAGTTAATTGTGATTAATCGCATCCAAAATAAAAGTCTGTGTTTACATAATATTTTTTGTGTGTGCTGTATATAATTATTTTGTATATATAAATACACACACATGCATTTATATATTTAAGAATTATTTGCGCTTAAATTCTGTATATATTTATAAATACATAATCTATATTATATAAATATTTTATAGAATAATACATTTTCTTAAATATATACATGCATGTGTTTGTATTTATATACACAAAATAATTACATACAGCACACACAAATATATTATGTAAACACAGACTTTTATTTTGGATGCGATTAATCGCAATTAATTTTTGCACAGCCCTAGTTTTATATAAACACATGAAATCTGTAGTAATTATCTGCCATTCCCATTAATGTGTCCATACAGAGAAACAGAAGCAGCTGTCAATAAAACACACAGCAGAGATCCTGGACTCTGATTGGCTGCCAGTGAACACACAGCAGGGATCCAGTGATGTCATCATGATCCCCATCAAATATTCATAATGTGAATTACTAATAAACGCTGATTCTCGTTCTCAGTGATTAATGATCGAGGTAAAGCTGCTTCTTCAAGTCTCCTGCTGTGTGTGTGTGTGTGTGTGTGTGTGTGTGTGTGTGTGTGTGTGTGTGTGTGTGTGTGTGTGTGTTTTGAAGGCCGAGATGAATGAATGTGTTTGCTGTGTTTCTGCTGAGCGAAGGTGAACAGCTGATAGAGATCACAGTCACAGAGGACTTCGACCCATAACACACACACACACACACATCAAACACTGCAGAAGTGCTGAACTAAAGCTTTTACAGCACTAATATCTGAACATCCTCAAATCCAGATCCCGTTAGAGATTCACACAGATCAGCCACTGCAGTCAGAGAAATCATCTTCAGAGTGAACAGACTGTCAGTGTTCTAGAAGCGCTTCAGAAAAGAGCTGTGAGGTCAAAGGTCACACACGATCTTGATCTAACCGCGTGTGGAAGTGAAACCGAGTGACGTGAACACGCTCGATTGCTCCAAAACATGACGAGTTCCCGACCACAGCAGAACACACTCATGAGAGTCTGCTAGACGAGGAGAACGAGCTGTCAATCAATCTGCTGCTGTCAATCAATCAATCGGCTATGTGAAACTGGTGATCTAACGTCACGCATGAGAACAGAACCAGTGTTTCTCCAGGAACTGTCTCTTCGTCTCTCTGTCTGTTGCTCAATAAACACGTCCAACTTCCCTCCGAAATATCCTGAAACCAGAGACGTGACCATGTGACCCGCTAACATGAAGTACCGTGGTGTTAGCATGATTTTATTTACCGTTTCGATAGTAGAGTCAGGTTTATTTGGACAGATTTACATTTATTCATTTAGCAGACCTTTTGACACACACACACACACACTGTTAACACACACACATACACACACACATTTATATATACACACACACAGTACCACACACACACACACACACATATATTGTACATTATATATATATATATATATATATATATATATATATATATATATTACCCACAAACATAGAAATGTACTCACAACACACACAGCCTATATATATATACCCACACACATACATATGTACACACACCACACATATACACACATATATATATATATATATATATATATATATATATATATATATATTATATATTATATATATATTCATAGTCGTATTTAATGACAGCAGAGTACAGAAACTGAACACGCGCTACTTTCTAGAACTTTCAAAGTAATGTCGACCAACTTTACAGAGACAAACAGAATAACGAAACTAAGAAGAACATCGTGTCTCCACACACACACACACACACACTGCGGCCTCCGCGCAGTCCGAATGAACTCACCGACCGTAAAGTAGTAAGTTGTTCCGCGTGTGCGTGAGGTGACCCCGGCGGTGTCAGTGCTGGTGTCGGCCGGTTCGGCTCTGGTTAGGGAGTCTCGGTTCGGCTAGTTCGGTTCTGGTGAACTCTGAGCGAGTTCGGCGCGCGTGAGATCATCGGGTAAAAATAACATCATGGCGTCACTGACAGACAAACCGGCCACAAACACTCGCTAACCGCTAACCCGAGAACGGAGAATCGCTCTCCCGGGGACAGAGACAGAAGCGCGGCTGAGAGAGCGTTCTTCCAGTCCTCACCTCTGTGCTAAACACTGTAAACGAGTGTAACGAGGCGGGGCTTCGGCTCGCCTTACACGAGCAGCAGCAGAACTTTACTAATTACACATCTCACATCGTGTTACACTTCTGAAAACCAGATTAATAAACCCTGCTGTCATTAACGGTGAACAGGAAACATTCTCAGAACGGTCTGGCAAAGTTCTCTTCTCTCAAGAATAAACAAACGTTCCTCCAGTAACATTAATAAAACGTTCTCTATTAGTTTATAATAATCTTACCAAAACGTTAGAACAAAAAAAGAACATTTAGAGAACATTCAAAAGTAACTTTCCCATAATGTAATCTTTTCCCAAATGTGTGTGTGTGTGTGTGACTGTGTGTGTGTGTGTGTGTACAGTAATAACACACGTTATTACACTGTTAATAATAGTATAATAATGATAACAAAACAATCATAATAAATATTAAAATGCAGAATTACAGTAGATTATTGAAAATATTGTTGATTAATATATTATAAATATTCCAAATGATTCGATGTAATTAAAATATGTAAAACTGAAATGACTGTGTGTGTGTGTGTGTGTGTGTGAGTGGTAGTCTGTCCCATGTGATGTAACGCACACACACAAATATATAAAACACACGTATTACGTAAAGTCAGTTTCTCGTGTGACGTAAACTGTTGATCTTTCTAGAATTTTTAGTCTAGCGTGCCAAAATCAGGAGGAAACTACAGGTCCCAGCATGCAGCGCGGTGGGCGTCACCTGCGCCACAACCGGAAGAACTCTGTTAGCATTCGGCTAAAAACACAGCCAGTTCTGTTGATAAACAGATTAAAATCATCTCAGTCGTCTCTGTAAGCGTTTAAAGTCGAATGATCGAGGATAAGAACGCGACTAAAGACCCACGCTGAGTGGAGAACGCGCAATGGATGACAGTAAGGGTGCGTTATGTGGACACATGAACACTGAACGCATGTTGGATTATTGTCACATCAGTTCTGTCAACAAAATTGTGTTTAACAACACGATTAATGTGCCTTAATATTCTCTTTGGTGCCTTGAGTAGCTTAGTAATATCACTGTACATGAATCACGGTTTTAGAAGATCAACTCTATCTTTACCATTAGCGCCCAGCTAACACGTAACGTTTGGGCGTTCAAAACGAGTTGCTAATGTTCTTACTAATTTAGGAAACGTTATTTCTGAATGTTCAAAGCGTCAATTTATTATGTTTTAAAGCGTTTCTTTTTGGTTATGTGAACGCTAACGGAACATTAATTTGTGTCGTTCTTCACACATTATGGAACGTTACTTTTGAGTGTTCTCTGAACGTTCTGACTTAAACGTTCCATGATTGATGCTTCTGTTGTAATGTTCTGAGAACATCATGATTGAAGGCCAGATAACTCTGAACGAACGCTCTATCAA